AGGGAGAGGGAGAGGGAGAGGGAGAGGGAGAGGGAGAGGGGGAGAGGAGCAGGAGCAGGAGCAGGAGCAGGAGCAGGAGCAGGAGCAGGAGAAGGAGAAGGAGAAGGAGAAGGAGAAGGAGAAGGAGAGGAGAGGAGAACTCGAACTGGTCCACCCCCCTTATAAGTCCCTTAGTCGCCGATCCGAACTCGAACTCGAACTCGAACTTCTCCACCCCCGGCTCTATAATTGTTGTCGATCCGAACTCGAACTCGAACTGGTCCACCCCCCCGGCTCTGACTCGAACTCGAACTCGAACCGGTCCACCCCCCCGGCTCTAATTGTTGTCGATCCGAACTCGAACTCGAACTGGTCCACCCTCGAACCCGAACCCGAACCCGAACTCGAACGGGATCAGTTAGAACCACCTGGGGCACGGCCTGCTCCAAACAGCTCCAAACGGAGCCCTGGACGATGCAGAGGCCCTCGTGGCTAGTTGCTGCTGTATATCATGGCTGGGGGGAAGCACACAAATCACTTGGAAACCGTGCGTTCTGAACACATTACAAGAAAACAAACAGACCAACACGCACACTTGCACGCCCAAAGGCTTGCCTTCAATCAAGACTTGCCCATGACCATCGTTTTCTTTTTGCAATTGTGGTGCAGTGTGTGGATGCTTTTGTTCGTGGCAATGCTTACACAATTATATATGCATTGTGGCTTTGTGTGTCTTGTTGGCTTCTGGTGGTGATTTTGGTCGGCTTGGGAGGGGATGTGCTGACCTTCTGAGGCCGGCAAGCCGTGCACAAAGGGGCACAGTTGGCAAAGAAGGCAGCCATCCACATCTATCTTCACGCTGAGGCCTGCTTGCTCTGGACCCTACACACATATAGGCACGTATATATATATATATATAATTTTATACATATCCGTGATTGTAGAGTGATGCTGTGGGAAAGACTGAGTTGCTGGCAGTCGAGCGCGTGGACCGTGAAGGGGGTGGCTTTCGTGGTTTCTTTGGTACTTTTTGTGGTGTCCATGCCTGTGCCCCAGAATCATTGTGCTCTGCCGATTTCTGTCTTCCAATTAGGTCCACACCCAGACTCCGAGGCTTTCCTTATTCAACGTCTTTCATGCACTTTCGCATCCTTTGTACTACTTGCTGAATTCCTACAACCTGGCGTTTGCCGTGCGCTTACCAACCGCAGAGTCTTGTGGTGGGCCTGTGACCATTCTGCTGTTGAATTGGGAGTGTGTAACGAAAGATCTTTCACCCACCGGTTGCTCAAACAGATGCGTAGCTTTGGTTTAGCTATTAGCTGCCTTGTGCCCAGGCATGCGTGATTGTGGTAGATCTCTCAGACTCTGTGCTTCTATATATTCCATCATGCTTTGCACGTTTCTTTCAGCCCACACTGCCGCTAAGATAATGGAGGGCCCAACAGAGATGGACTGCCAGTGCGGAGCGTCCCGCAGCCAATCTTCGGGCAAAATGAGCACATTTTCAATCTTTTTTTGGCATCGAGGTGGGACAAGCTTCAACGAGTTCTTTTCAGCTGGGCCGCATTCTTGGCGTCCCGTACAGGCCAAGAAGCTTGAAAGCAAGAGCTTGATTGCAGCTTTTGCTGCTTTTCTTCACTGCTTTTAACTATTATATAGTTGTGTTCATGTGCTTTCCTCGCAGGCCGTGCTCTTTTCTACTTCTTCGTCGGTACACTGAACATGTTCATGATGCTGGAGACCTACTTGTGAAGATGGTCGAACGCAGTTCAACTAGGTCGCCAGCTACCTAGTGTGGCAACTGATCTCTTGATTCAGGCCTCATGATTGGCTTTGGACCCTGCCAATGCCTCAGCATGACGATGCCAATGATAAATAAACTGATGGTCAATACGACTGATCCACCAATAGCAAGCCAAACAACAGTGGCACTTGATGTGAACATACTCAATGCGAATAGCAGGATCTATTTCTCTTTGGGCTCTGCTTTGGCCTTTGTACGACCCTTATATAGTGAGAGAGACGGTGACGGGCGTGACAAAGAAGACTGGAAGACTCCTTTGACAAGCTTGGTCGTAGCTTGAGCTACTGTGAGAAATGCATTGGCCCAACTGGGACTGGGATTTTCATTGTGTCATGATGTGTCGGGAAGCTGTTTTGGGCGAAAACAAGCGATTCTGTACGACCAAGATTGCAAAAGAGGACAATCCACCAAAACATTACAGCAAACAGATTGACCCCTTTCTTGGTTACAAAGTGACAACGTGCCAACCAAAGAGAAAGAGAGAGAGAGAGATATAAATACATGATCATACATACATGATCATGCATATATGATCATGATCATGATCCTGATCATACATACATATATACATCCATGCATACATTACATTACATTACATTACATTACATTACACTACATTACATTACATCACATCACATCACATCACATCACATACAATGACTTGAGGTTGGTCTGCTATCCCTGCTAGACAGCTGCTTGGCAGCAGTGTGCTTGTTGAATGCTGTTTCAAGCTTGGGCTTGCGTTGCTGCGGCCTTTGCAGGATATGGGTGCACCACAATTTGCTGCCCGGGAATGCGCGGTCATGTTCGTGGCAAGCTGCGTGATACTGATCATTATGGAGATGCAATAGCCCCCGGGCTGCAGTATGCACAGAGACTGAAATGCATGTTGCTGAATGCAGGGCCTGAGGGCCTTGGCATGAGTGCCGCCCAGGCAAACAGAGGTAGTCCTCAAGGCCGTGACCTTAGGTTGAGCTCTTCAGCTCCGTGGAGTGGAGACAAACCAAGGATCCGATAATTCTTCACCCCAGGGCTATGCGGCCAGAAACCCGCCGAGAATCCAGGACATGGCGTAGCAGAATGTGCACCTTGCAGTTTGTAACACAATCGCCGCTTTCCTCGCCCTCGGTCTCTGAAAGGAAATGGAACAGCTCCTTGATGCAGAGATGGGGCACAACCCGTAGCCCTGCAGGCACTTAATGAGGCTCACAGGCTGCCTTTTTGCTCTGGCTTGACTTGTTTAATGCTATTTGCCTCCATGATGCGGGCCTCTCTCAAGGTATCCTCACAGATAACTTGTTTAGACCGTGGATGAGGCCTTGTGTTTCTTCCGATCTCCGAAATACTCAAGTACTGCATTCCTTTCATGTCTTTTTGTAAATGCTGGAATTTGAGGATGCACCACCCCAGTTGAACTGAACTTGGACTACTGAAAGCCAGACGAGACAGGACAAATTGTTTGAGGCAAGGTGCTATTGATTTAAATACTCTTGGATAGCGTGTTGTTCTAGTATAAGATGATTTACTTGCACAGTATCACCATGCTTTGTCAAAGAAGTGCTGTGTGAACTGGGGGCTGGCACCAACTTGTTTCATTTGATGCAAAGATAGTCCCGGCCGTGGTTGTCAAAGTGAATTGCGGAATATTGCAGAAACTCCACCAGTTCACAGCGCTTTGTAGAGCGCAGTTTCAGTGCCTCACAGAGGCAGAGATGAGCGCTCTAATCAAAAGAACCGCTATCCATTTGTCCTCGTGGCAGCTCTTCCTTCGCAGTCCTTAGGAAGAAAGAGTGATTCAAAACACCCGCGACGCATGGGCACACAGTTTCAATAACGCCCTTGGCCTGCACATCCTAAGGAGTTGGGGTGCTGTAGAATTGGGAAACCATTGTTGTGCTTGTGAGACCACAAAGAAAGGGTCTATGCACTTTCAGATGGACTAAGGATGAGCCGCAAAATGGGTTGCACCTTTGGCTTGCATCCGCCACAGCCAAATCTGCACAAGCCTGGTCCGGGACTTGACATTTTGCAGTGCATGGCCTTTAGGGGAAGAACATTTTCCTGCTTTGCTGAGGAGATAGGTACATTCATGCAAAGTTTGAGAAGAAGAAGGCTGCTTTGCGCTTTAGATGGATTCTAGAATTGGGCATTGACTCAATTCGGTTCCCTTTGGAAAACGGTTCCGAAAGTCGTTCCTGATGGCAGCGCGTGGTTTGATGCGCAGGTCGCAAGGCTGGATCCTTCCAAAGTCCCAGCAGCTGGGGCGTTGGCAACTGAGCCAAGAGTGACCGTCCAAAGAAGTCCAAACATCAAACGCACTTGTTGGGATCCTCTTGCTTTGTCGGTGTTTGCAGCGAGGTCCTCTTATTCGCAAATGTTGGAGGGGCCGAGGTGAGAGCCTTCAGCTGTTGGGTTGCCGTTGGGCCTCATGTGGATGGGGAACCGCAGAATCCCGTTTCGTGGACAAACTGCTCACACGGCTGCGGGACATGACAAAATGCGTTGCAGTATATATATATATAAATGACTCGGAAGCACCACCACAATGCACGGTGCATTGAACCAATGTTGTGTCATGCCTGACATTCCAATAACATCCCATAGCTCCCTTTGAGCCAGCACCTAGATGCTTAATAAATGCTACAGTTTCGATAAGACCAGGGCAATGCCTAGGCTGGCACTTGGCAACTCTTTTCCAGCAATTTAATACTTGGCAGTCCTTTTGACCCCCTGCTGAAACAAGTGCAAGAACTGCACAGGGAACTGTTTCCTGAGGCAGTGAGGGTTCGGACGAAGAATTCCTTTCAGAAACTAGTCTAGCACATAGCGACTACACACTTTTGATATGTGTTTAGTGATTTGCACCATGGCGTGCTTAGTTGTGTTTTTTTGGTGGTAGTAGTAGAAGAAGTAGTAGTAGGAGGAGGAGGAGTAGGAGGAGGAGTAGCAGTAGTAGTAGCAGCAGTAGCAGTAGGAGTGGGAGTGGGAGTCGGAGTCGGGTCGGAGTCGGAGTCGGAATAGTAGTTGTAGGAGTAGTGTTTGCAGTAGCCGGGGCAGCGGTAGGAGCAGGAGTGGCAGTAGCAATAATCGTGCTAGTAGGTTAACCACGTCTCCAACTCCTAGTGCTAGCAGTTGCAATGCTAGTAGTTCAAACACATTTTCAGCTCTTCCTCGCCTCAAGATTGGCAGGTTTGCTGCTTGATCGCCTGCTTGTAAACACGGCAAGGATGCAAAACAAGTTCTCACTGCCACCGTAGGCACGAACCAGCAATATTGGACCACAACCTCACGTTCGTAGGGTGCTCCGTGGGCAAAGGTACTGGGTATGCATGTCGTCGTGTGGAAATGTAGTCGAGCCATAGGCTTTGGCGTAGGTGCCCTTCAATGAGAATACCCTGCCTACACAGTAAAAAAGACTCTGCTCAAATGAGTCTTCCAGCTTCTTTGAGCAGGTGGCAGATGCACTACGCCTTGCAGTTGCAAACTGGAGCCCAGTCCGAGACCGAGAGATTTTCCACATGCTGAAGTCAGCTGATGGCTGGGTCTCGGCCCTGTGGCTCGGATTTAGGCGTATGAGATGATGCCCTAATCAAAACGGTGCAAGATGCAAAGATTAGACCATTGTTTCAAACAGTTTCACTCTGTGTCACCCTAGTGTTTTTTCCAGTGCGAATTAGCACAGGTGTTTCACGACAGTCGGTGCATTCGATCGGGATTTGTTTTTCATACAGACCCACAGGACCTTTCAAAGCTTTCGCCTAAGTTGAGGGCTTGTGAAGTTCAAAGCCACGGAAGGCACCTGCTTAGCGCCTGCTTTGCACGGTTGAGCCGTTAAGCCGTCGAGCGCCTAGACCACCTTGCAACAAGGGGGTGGAGGCAAGCAGAGCGGTTGTCACGCCGACCGTCAACCTCATTGCCCTCCCATTTTTTGACGCAAAATAGTTTTCAGTTGTTGCACTTCCTTTGTTTGAAAGACCGCATGCACAAGACTTGCTCGGGGTGACTTGCACTGCCTTTGTTTCGGCTTCAGTTCCGTGCTGGATCCAGGGCCAAATGTGGCCTGGGGTGAGAGTCTGAGATGCAACAGCCACTTTTTCAAGCTGCGTCTCGTGTCTTTGAGGTCCAGGAATGCAGGGCGATGATGCCAGGAGTGGAACATTCTTGCAGCCCGCAAGCGCAGGATCGTTGCCTGCCTTGAAAGGACCTCCAGTGTGGGCACGCTGGCGGCCCTTATTTTGCTTTCTGCACTGAAGGGGGCGGATCTACAATTGCTTCCATCTTCGTTGCCCGGCCAGCGTTTGGGCGCGAAGAAGGGGTTCTTTTGCCGTGAGCCCGCAATAACGATATTCGTGCTTGCCACACAAAAGCGGAATGTCATCCGTGTTTGCCCAGGTTTCGGGCGATGGAGCATGAGATGGGCCTAAAGCCTCACATACTGGGCGTGATGGCCTTGTGTCAGGTGCCAGAGATCATCCTTGGTTCGTCGGAGCAGACATTTTTTGCTTCTTAGAATGCATCTCATAAGTTTAAGTTGTATGGCATAGACCCTTTCAGTCAAAAAGTGTTTTCCAAGGAGTCGACCCGCAAAAAGGGTCACAGAAGCTCCGCCCCCGACCTCAATATTTGGGTCCAGCCGGTGAGAAATCTCACAAAGCGTGTCGTGCTTTTGTTCGGATTGGCGGCCTGTGTCTCTGGAGTCGCTGACTGTATGGTTCGTAAATAGTAGCGTCCTTGTTCCTAGTAGTAAGGCCAGGGTTCGTAAATTCATACTTTTGCGCCATTAAACTTCACTGGATGGCACACTATTGCGATCACGGCTGCCCCATGCCTTTGCAGCACCTGGCGTTTCCCCCTCCGACGAGAACAACCATTCTGCAACCGTGATCCTTTTTGGACTACCGTGCGATGCCGAAATTCCAAGCGAGTTGCCTTCCGTGCGATTTCTTTGGGGCTGTAAGTGCAGTACATCAGTACATTTGTCGAAGCATTGCGCTGCATTTTTTTGCGCCCTTTTGGTTCTGGAAGTCGCACCCAGGGCTGTGAATACCAAACTTGCCAAGCCAAGGGCCACCAGAACTTTTTCATTCTTGAAGCTCTTGTAAAGGGAGCCAAAACATCGAAGTGGCAAAAACACGGGTGTCCTCAGGGAGACTTTCAGGCAGTATGATCCAAGCTCATGGAAGGGATGTGATCGTGCTGTAGTGTTTGTCTTGCCAAAGTTTTACTTCTTTTTGGTCTCCCTTGGCCGCAGTCAGTTCTTTAGATTTGCAACGCCCTCGGCTTTGTCAGGGGGTGGCCTGCGCAGTCACAGGCCCAATATGGGGCAATTTGGTGGACTGCGGAGCTTCAAGGAAGCTCTTGCTGAAGGTGCGGATGCAGCGGATGGATGATGTTTGTCCAGCTAAGAAATGTTCCTTTGGCGTTTAGCCCTCACCCATGCTTCTTTAGGTTGGCGCAGGGCTTTGGGGGCTTTGCACGTTTCAACTAGCGTAACTTGGCGCAATGATACATATGGAGATCCAACACAATCATTCGTAAAATTCGATCTAATCAATCTAGCCCAAGGCGGGGCCCTTCCCTTGCTTGGTTTTTTAGTTAGGATTGTATTTTGGCGGGCACCTCGAGAGAACATTGAAAGACCTCAGTCGTCACCCCTTCCTCATGCCCCGTACGCAACGTGGGGTCCAATTCAGTATCAATGTTGTACCAACGCTCAGGCCACCGAAATGCACAAATCGCCACAGATCACCGAAGATCACTACCGCACATGATGACAAATGTGACAACACGTTGTTTTGAAGCTACGTGGCCCTATTTCGTTTAGTGTCTCTTTTTTTCTGCAATACTACACCACGCAATCATCACCCGGACTGGTGTTGGCAGGAATCCAGTGGAATCCGTCTGAGGTTTACTTCCAAAGTTTGGGAAATGCTGCTGCTACGTCTCTTGAACGGGGCAGCACTTTCCATGCTTTGGCCAGTGGTGCAATCCTTCATTGCAGTGCCAAGCTAAGCCAACTAACTGCCGAGAGATGTTTTACAAAAGATCGATGTAGCTGCCTGAGCCCAACCCTGTATGGTTCTGTGCTCTTGAGATAGATGACGCCAAGGACTTGACCACTTCAAAGAATGTTGGGCAGGTTTGTGGCAAGGCACCTGAGCACTCGCAGTGTCAACACATGTTTGTCCCTAGCGGGCTTTGGACTGTGACAGCAGGCTTGAAGTCAACAGTGCATGAGCCTGGAAGCTAGGTTCATTGTGCTGCACACTTTGGTCAAGTCATTGCTTGCTTGATGGTAGCCAGAGGCCCAGGCGGCATTGGACTGCAAGACTTGGGTTGGTCATAATGGTCATGAACTTAACGGTGTTGGTTGGGCCTAACTTTGGCCTTTGAAGTTGTCCAGGTTCCCATCTCAGAGCAGGAAATTATGGGCTTGATGGGCTGGAGACTGGCTTTGGCTGTCGTTGGCGCTCTCAGAAGCTTGACGGCAGAAATCCCAGCCATAAGCCTTCCTGGATTGCAGTCAAGAATCGGATTGGTGAAGTCTCTGTTGAATTCAAGGTTTGAGTGTTGTACTCTTCGTGGAATTGGCCGTGGAGGAAGTAGCTAGGACAGGCAAAACGTCTCAAGCAGCGCAGATGTAGGACCTGATTGCTGCCATTGCTTATCACTTGGGACTGGACAGGAGCTGGGATTCCAGGCGCTTTGGACTTCTTTGCTCCTCGTTTGCAGCGGGATATTTTTCACGATCGTTCCACCACGTCTCATGCTTCAGGTGAGCTTCGCAAATTGGCAGGCTTCTTCCGTATTCGCACGTTTTGCGTATGGAGACCTAGACACTCTGCTGGCGCCTATCAGTCTTGTTGCAAGCTTGGGCAGAGGCGGCATGAGCGTGTTTTTTTAATGGAAGTGGTCTCCAAGGTCATTGTTCTACAAGGTGTCTTTGGCACCATACCTGCAGCAGCGCAATCCTTCACTACAATGTGCGCCAAGTTGGTTGAACAATGATGTGTAGACACAGACGTGCCGCAGAGGTATTTCCAATACCTTTCGATCGGAAACAGCATGTCTGAATCTCACTTGCTTATGATGACAGCTGAACGTTGCTGAGATGACAAGCATTGACACTTCTTGTTTGCAAGCGCACTCTGTTTTCCTTCTGTTCTTTGTCCTCGGTTCTCTCTTTGGTCTTTGTGCTTTGTTATTGTCTGTTACCCTCTCATATTTTTATCGTTTTTGGTTATCCTCTCAGTTCCCGGTGTTCTTTGTTCCGTTCCCAGGCTCCTCCTTCTAATCCTGATCTCGGCTCCATACTTAGCCGTCGCGTCGCGCATCGCCGTCGCGTCTCCCATGCCACCTTGTGCTTCATGCGAGCCTTCTAGCGCTTCCTTTCCGCATTTCTGATTCCACGTGCTTTGTCCCAAGCGAGTTGCATGGCGCAAGTCAAGACGAAGGGTCGTGCTGTCTTGCTGTCGGAGTCGGATTGTTTTGACCAAATGGAGGCTTGTGGCTTGTGGCAGCTTCTTTGAGAATTCCCTCTTGCTCGTTGATCTGGCCCAAGTTCCATTGCGTCCTTCTTGCACAGCCTTGGATACGAGTGGGTTGCCCGTGTGCGTGGTCTCATGAGCGGACGGCGTCCCATAGCATGTCTCCAAGACTCCCTTTGAGTGTGAATGATGCTGCTGGGTCCCACGGTTTCCCCACACTCACATGTAATGCGTGCAGCATGGAGCTTAGCGCACGAAAGTGGGGGTGCAGTCAGACGAACATGTGTTTGATTTTTGTGCTAGCTGCTAGCTAGCTGACATTGTGTAGGGTTCTGATGTAGGCAGGCAAACGGCCGATGGTGTTGCGGGTGCTTGAATCGAAGCGAGATTGGCCCAAGGTGTGGACTAATCACTGCCATCAGAACTGTCGGCGATGGCATTGGCGGTGCTTTGGGAGGCCTGAACGCCAACCATTTTGATAATTTTGACATGTTCCTCTCCTTCTTGAACTTCTTTGCGTTGCTTCTCCAGGATATCTCGGCGATGTGGCCAGTTCTGTGAGCCCGCGATATGGGAGGACATGTGTAGCCATGATCTCTGTCACTGCACCTCAGCATAACCTGTAGATGACAGCGTGGGCCGGGTAGGGCGGTGGCGAATAGGATGAATGAAAGCATCGAATCTCATTGAGCCAGGCAGGCAGTCCATTCGTGTATGTTGTCTACATGGCCATTCCAAGAGAAGCCAGTCTTGGACGCTCGGGTGCATCATTTAGACAGAAGATTGTAACTCACAACTGTTGATACTGCCGATTCCATATGCATGGAATTTGGGTCTTGCAGATGGACCAAGGTGTGTTCTTTGCAGGCATTCTATTTTCAATGGGTCTTTTTACCAGTTGGGAGGTGCCAGGCTGTTTGCAGCCGATGGATCCTTGGCTGACACTGTCAACATTTGGTCATTTTACAAGCTTTGTGCACGGATGCTGTGTGCCTCTAGTTGATCGTTTACTTGGTTTTCCGTTGCCTGCATGACATCGGCGGTTGTACTTCAGATGATGAACATCGTCCCAAAACGACAGCTGCATGACTGAATAGAGCAAGCTGGGGAGGGGGGCACCTTATACTCAATGGTTCTTCTACAGAGCTTTTTGAGCGCTCTCTTTGCCAAGTTTATCGTCGGCATTCTCTTGGGATGTTGCCATTGACTGAAGCTCAGACTTGCTGTGACGGTTGTGAAAAGTGTTTGTGCAAAGAAGGTGAACTTTGTAAATTGTTTATATAATGTATATGGCCGTCCTGTCAGGTTTTTGCAAGCGGAAACACTCTTGGACCTTTGCTGGTGGGATTCATTGCCCAGGATGTCTGCACAGGTGAAAGGATGATGTGGGTCAAAATGTCCGACGGTCTGGGATGACGACACCAAAAAGTACTGTAGCCTGTTTGTTCACGGAACACTCAACCAATCCACGTCATTGCCAACGCATGCACAGAGCAAAAGACACATGAGGACATCTTCATGTACCGCCAGACTGAAGGGAGTATTGTGCGCCGCCCAGCTGATGCAAGATTTTGTCCTTCGTTGAAGGGAAGCTAAGTCGTTGCGCATGTCTGGAACATCGTGTTGCACCGTCGCATGTGTCAGGCGGACATGAGCCCAGAACTTCGCGCTCACAATGCTTCAGCTCTTGGCAAAGCCCTTTTCTTTAGTTGTGTCATTCCTTCCTTGCTGAGTGCCTGGGACTCACATAGCTGACATAGCTCTGGTCTAAAGCTGAGCAGACGAGGCAAGCTCATAGCCTCAACAGTGGTAGCTGTGAGGCGCTCTGAATTTTACGATGCTATTCTGGACCTACCCCGCAGACAGGGAATTGCTGAAGGCAACGCGTCAACCTTGTGATTTGCTTACTTTGCTTCCCCGTCCAACCCACTACTGTAATTTACTCGGGTCAGATTCTAATCTGTGCCTGTACTCTGTTCCACCTCTGAAGGACAGAGAAGCTTCGGACGATGAATCTCACGAAGCTCACGAGGGTTCTTGGCTCCTGAAGGCAGGTCGATGACTTGTGGTCGGACTGCTCTGAGTGAAGTGCAGTGCAGCAGATTTGAGACCCCACGGCAGGATGTCGAAGGCAAGCTGACCAGGCAACAAACCTGAAAAAAGTGCTGAAATGTTTCGACAGACGCCAAGATTGAGTTCAAGGCCGCGCACGTAGAATTATCCAAAGGGCTCGGTGATTTTCATGATGTTCTGAAATATTGGCTCAAGGCAGAACTTCCGTTACATTTCAACTACGAGTCACTAGTCATAAGTTCTAGATAGCGATGCAGATGGCGACAAACAGACCTCGTAGCTGCCTAGAAAGCACCATTGGCCTTAGGAATCAGTTTGAAAGACGCTGCGAATCACTCTTGGCAAAGCATAGCAGGACTGGCTGAGAAATGGTGACACTGAGTTTGTGGGTCCTAAAGCACGCGAGTGCCCTATAATTTGTTAGTTTGACATTTCTTAGACGATGCAAGGACTTGCTATGAGGGAGAAGACTGTGTCGCTACCTTATGCCACTAGCTTTAGGGGGTGCAAAAAAGTTATGTGCAACTGCAACCGGGTAGGTATGAGAGTGTGGCTTGGATGATGCAGGTCCACACCTGCCATGCGCAACAAGAGTGTCTTGAACTTTTGGGCATTCTTGCCCAGAATAGTTAAGTACTCCCTGACCATGTGTCAACCAGCTTTGAGCTGGACTGGCCGACTTTTTTGTTGTGCCTCAATTTTCTGGAGGTCAACCTGGCTAATTTGGTGTCACCTATGCACGTATGTATATATATTTCTATATGTATGAATGTAATGTGATGTGATGTGATGTGATGTGATGTGGGCTATGTTATGTTATGGTATGGTATGTAATGTAATGTGATGTAATGTGTAGTGTAATGGTATGGTATGGTATGGTATGGTATGGTATGGTATGTATGTATGTATGTATGTATGTATGTATGTATGTTTTTTTCCTAGAGTTCTTTTGTGTCTGCACGAGTCTCAGCCATTGTGGCGGGTTGCTCGGGTGGCAACTGTGCTAGGCCGCTGTTGTTGCCGTAGTGCTCGTGGTTCTAAAAGTAGTCCACTTGGAAAGGCTGGTCCGTACCCTGCATAGGGTCATCAGTGGAACTCTCTTCTTCACCACTTTTTCACTTTCCAGCCAGCTTGGCCTCTTTGTCTCCGCATTGGTTCGTTGCTTTGTGCCCTGGAATGGAAATCGGCGGTGCAAACGAGGCCAGGGGGAAGCCTGAAGGTTCATGGCATCATCTGAGCTTGCATGAGCAAGGTCTTCTGGGTTATTGGCTGCTTCACTGTAAGTGAGCTTTCTTGGTGCAAGTGGTGATGCAGTGTCATGCTGTTGCATCTTCTGCAGGGTCACCAGTGTGGGCTGGGTTTCATGGCCTGCTGGTGGCGCATCCCCGGTGGAGGTGGTCCTGTGTTCTGCAGTGCCTGTGTGGTCGTTCTGAGGCAGATCTTCAGGTTGTGACTGACTGGCCTTCTCAGCCTGTCTTCTGAAGATTTCGACCAAAGGTGGGGAGCTACTGACAGCTGCTCCCTTGCAAGTCTTTTGGAGTGCCCCTGTGACTATCGGGCGCTGTTGGGCGTCGAGGTGCACTTGTATGCCACAGTTGCGACACTGCACCTTCTCGCCTCTTTGCCACAGATTGTGGCTAGCATGACCGTCATGCGGCCTGGCGTAGGCCTGATTAATACATTGGCCTTGAACAAAGGCGAGAAAAGCTGCCTCATTTTGTGCGCTTGTGCACACTGATGCCACATTTGCCACAACGTAAATACCCTTTTGTTTCTTCTAATGCATGGGTGTCTTCTGCAGGGATTGTGTCCTGCTGCTGAGCCAGGAGTTTGGTGATCACTTGAGCTCTTGTGAGCTTCTTTGGAAGCGGCTTATGTGGGCTGTGGTGATCTGGATATTCTTCTTCCAACCTCAGCCGTGGGCAGGTCTGTGCCAGTCTCTCCTCAATGATCGAGACTGTGAGCGCTTGGTGGATTCTCACTCCACATGCACTGCAATGGAATCCACTGCGGTGAGGTTCCCATCGGTGGTGGGGAGCCTGCCAGGGTTTGTGGCACTGCTGGACCAGCTGTTTCTTATGCTGTTTGGTCTGCCTGCCCTGGTGTCTGGGTGCCTTCTGGTGGGTATAGTGGTCCTTGGCTGCATAGATCTTGGCTAGCCTGGCTGCTGCATGTTGTGTGGTCCTGGTCCAAAACCTGCCCATTCAGTGGCTCTTCGATCATGTAATGCATTTGCTCGTTCCCAGGCAGCTAATGCCGCATCTCTTTGTCTTCGCTTGAGGTGTGGTTCACTGCCTGGGGCTTCCGGCGCGCGGGTGTTCCTGCTGACATAGAGGACTGTCACTCGGTGGAAATCTTGATCTGTGAGGCCTTCAAAGAGGTCCAAGCAGGGCTGTCGATGTCTCACCTGAGTCCATGCTTCCCAGACAGCTACGACTTGCACAATGACCTTCACCTGGGTGTTTGTATGCTTGGCCAAAGCAGCTAGGCCTGCCAGTAGTGCTCGAGTCTTGTTTTGTGGGTTGCTTGGAATGCCAGTGATGGCCCCCAGTCTTTGAAGTTGTCCCAAGCTCATTGTGTGGACACACAGGCCAAAGACCCAGAGCTGGCTGCGCTGTAGGTGGAAGGAGTGGCATCCAGCGTGTAAGCCCATCCCTGATGCTGATGGGGTGCCAGAACCTGTAGGTCCTGCCATGTTCCATGCCCTTGGTACTGGTGCTCAATCTGGCGGTTCTCTTGTGATTCAAGTGGTATCCAGCCTGCACTCCACAAGGGATCTTCATCATGTTGAGTGATTCGCTCCGCCCAGGCTGGTGGCATGGGTTTATGCACTTGTCCTTGATGCCATTTACACAACCAAAGGATGTGCTTTGGGGTGGCTGGGGCTCCACAGATGGGACATTGCTTGGGCTAGCTTTGACTCCATCGATTTTTACCTGCAGCTGGTTCTTGCGGATTGACGTGTTCTTCAAATCAGTCACCTGGCCTTTTAGTTTGGCGGCTACTTCACGCTCTGTGATGGGCTCGACCTTCATGAGCTTGGAGACAATCTCCTGAACCTGCTGGGGAAGTGCATCTATGTGGGTCTTCAGCAGATCCTTCAATTCAGGTTCTTCGGGCTTGGAAGGTCCCATCCCAAGGGCTTGTAGCTTGGTTTGTGTCTCTTCAGGCAGCGTGGTCCAGTGGTGAGTCCTGGTGGTGCCTCTAACCACTGCTGGTTGGCCATGGTCTTGGTGGTCGGTCGTCCATAGCCCTTGCCTTTCCCATTGCGGCTGGAAGTTTCAGGCCACTATGTGCCACATTTGCGGCACTTAGTGCCATTGCGGACTTTGTCAGTCCAGATCCAATTGGCACATGTGCCTTTGGTGCATACCATATAGGCTCTGCCCCATTGAGGTGTCATATCTCCGGATACGGTGGACCGCAGTGGCGTGCTGGTATCCCAGGATGTGGTTTGTAGAACAGGTCACCGAGGATGTTCAGGCCCTTGGTGTGGTCAATCACGTAGGGTTTTTCGAGCAGATAGCCAGCGAGAACTGCCGGCTACCGAAGAGGCCAGCAGTAATGGCCAAGATGAAGATCGAGATAGCTAGCAAAGAATGTATGCTAATCCAAGATCTCCCTGGGCCAAACTGCACGTTAAAGTCCAGGCAATGTTCGTCGCGTGGGGGGTCCGTACAAACTGGACTTTGTTGGCCGCCAGTTTGAGCACTAGTGGCCTTGAGCCATGTATGTATGTATGTATGTATGTATGCGTACGTACGTACGTACTACGTAATGTATTGTACTGTATTGTATTGCATGTCATGTCATGTCATGTCATGTATGTATGTATGTATAAAAGTGTTCACTATTTGCTCCAAGGACTGGTTCTTGGCTGGCGGGGATGCAAGGAAGCTTGTCTTGTTCTCAGGTGCATGTACTTTGGTCATGCGAGAGTGCTTGGTAGGCTGGCGAGGCCAATCCTTTCCTTGAGGTCTCGTGAACTTGCAGAGACCGACTTGAAGGCGGAGTGCCATTCAGAAGAAGGGTTGTCCAGCAATGCCCATACAGCTTAGGCTTAGATGCCTTTCCTCAGGGAAGAGTGGCTCATGGCACTTGTCAAGATAAGCCTCGCCCAGGAGAAGACACATCCTGGTACAAAGGAGGAGGACAGGTTTGCACAATCAGAGCGGATGTAGACAGCCTCCTGCCTTCTCACCTTGCCCATCTTCAAAGCCCTGATACCTTGCTGAAAGCCTGACTTTTTGGATACCTACCTTCAGATCCTTCAACACAGCGTTGCAGCATTGCGCGGGTTAGGCCCACCAAGCAATGTCTTCACCCAGGGCTCTGGAAGCCTCCGACAAAACACCAAAACCTGACAGTTATAGAGCACGCAGAAAGCATTTCCATCAGTTTAAACAAGCACCGCAGAAGCAGAACCGAGAGTCACTCCAGACATGTCACCCAAAACTTGCCTATCACATGACTTTTCGCATCGGTACGCTCAACTGTAAAGGGCTAAAACCCAATGGAAGTGACGTCAAGCAACGGCTTTTGATTAACGCCATGAAGAAGCACAACACCGGTGTCCTTCTCCTCCAAGAAACGCACATCAAGACTATAGTTCTGAAATCATCAAGGGCTTCACTTTTCTATACTCCACGAGTATCACTGACGAACAAAGGAAAAACACTGAAAACATGAGAAATGCCGTGAAAGGGAGAGCTAAAGGCGAAGGTAATGGACGTAGACGCCAAAATGCACAACCCGCAATTGACCGAGAATACCATGGCGTTGCCATAATTTTAAATCCGACTGACAGACTGTGCATGACCGATTTCGAACAGTTAAATGGTAGAGTTATGTCGATATCTTTACGCACTGCTGGCCCTCCAATCCATATCATCAACTCTTACGCTCCTCAAAGCGGGGTTAACACCAAACAGAAAGAATTGTTCTATGACACGCTTGAAAGACATTTCAACAAATTCCCCAGAGCACATGTCAAATATATCCTTGGCGTTTTTAATGCTCGCCTTCACACAAAATGCGAACATGAATTTATGCTTGGACCTCACACGTTTGGCCGTGGGCGCCAATACCTGCGCAGTGTCTCCGACGAAGTGACGGAAAACAGACGCTTATATATTTGTAAACTTTTGTGCAGGCAGCGACCTGTTTGTCATGAACACTTGGTTCCAAAAGCCACCCATGAATCAGTTTACCTTTCGAGAGCCTGCTACACACCATGAACCTCCTTGGGATGCCAGTAGACTTGCTCAACTGAAGTTCGTGCTCGCTCCTGCCAGATGGAAAATCTCAGTTCAAGACGTCACAGCCCGTACTCAAATTTTCACTGACTCTGATCACTATATTGTTACGGCTGATTGTCGAAAAAAACTGGAAACTCTGAAACAAGTGACGTGCCCCAAAATATCGGGCACCTACACTTTCAATGACATACTTGCACGTACCCTAAACGCAGCTGAACAGATTGATATTAGTACCGTTTTGCAGGCCATCGAACACACTGCAGCAACTTGCTTTACTGCCACACCTGCAGCGCAAAGACAACCTCACATTTCCTACAGAACTTGGCAAAAAATCGTTCGTCGGAACGCGGCCCATAACAGAATGATTGGGCTACAGTGTCGCAGATGAGCGCTGAAATCAAAAGAGATGCAAAACAGGATAAAAGAAGAGCATTGCTGAACACTCTAGAATAGTCTCGCAAATCGAAGGAAAAAGGGGTTATTTAATTCACCAAACTAAAAGATAGACATGGTAATAGGAACCACCGTGCTGAAGCTGCGGCGGACTACCTGCACCATGTACAATGGCGCCCTGTGCCTATTCCCGCTGACAAACGTCGTTCAAACATACTGAATCATGACCTTGGTATCCGGTTGAGCGATTTCTCGGTCCAGGAAGTAGTTGACGCAATCAAGAAGATGAAGATAATCAGATCAGCATTGACACCATCAAAGCTGTAAGCCCAGAAAACTGCCGCTTCCTAACCGAAGCCTTGAACCTTTGGTGGTGTTCTGAAACAATCCCCAAGAACATTATCTAAGGGCCATGGTTATTTCTTTGTATAAAAAGGCAACACGGAGGATATTTGGAACTACCGACCTATTTCATTGCTGACATGTGCCTATAAAGTGTTTACTTCTATCCTCCAAGTCTAGGCTCGCTGAAGTTATGGATCCTTTTCTCGCTGAGACCCACTCTACAACCCTTGTATATTGCCAGGCGAACCCAAGATGCCGCAGAACAGAATGGACGTGATTTGTTAATGGGTTTCTTAGCCGCATGTTTGAAGCTTTAGGCAGAATGAACATTGTCCCGAAAATGCTCCGGGTTCTTCGTGCTGTTTAAATCACCCAACTTTCCAAGTTGAGTTCGACGAATTTAAGTCTGGAATCTATGAGCAGCAAGCAGGCATTCGGCAGGGCTGTCCCCTTAGCCCGTATCTATTCGTCATTGTCATGTCGGTTATGTTCTCGGATATTCGATCTGAACACCATCGGTCTCTCAGTCATGGACAATTGGATCACAGATCGTTTATGGAAATTATTTATGCTGACGACACGCTTTTGATTACTAAAATGACTCGTGCAATGAACTGGTTGGCTGTTGAAGACGAATCTCATTATTATGGTCTTTCACTCAACAAATCAAAATGCGCAGTTATCTCCACGAGCGGAAGGCAATGTAGATAATCGAGCTGAAGTTGAAAGCAGGATTTCTGCAACTATGGCCGTTTGGAAACACATGCGCATGTTTTTCAAAAACGCAAGCTGTCCTGTCAGGTGGAAGCTTATTGTTTACAGCCGCATGATCCGTTCAAAGCTTTCATATGGACTTGAAACGGTGGAGTTGACGCAGTCCTTACTTTCTAGACTCGAACGTTTCCAACTAACTACGCGGCCTTCGAAAGATCCTGAAGATGCACACCACGTTCATCGACCGTAGAAATACGAACGCCGAACTCTACCGCAGGGCTAATGCAGCCGCTGCATCCAGATATAGCCCCTCTCCCAAGTTAGCTATCGAAAAGTGTTTGCATGAAAACAGGGTTGAACTAACTGGATACGTTTTGAGAACTGACAATCGTGACCCCATGAGACAGGTAAGTTTTCGTAGGGACAGTGCTATCCCATATACGCCTATCTTCAGAAGACCGGGGCGACCCAGGAAGAATTGGTTGGTGACCTCTTTAGATCTTTGCTAAAAAAATAACGAAAGCGCTTACGCCAATACCCGGAACAACAATGCCAACTTTTGCAAGATGCCAGAGACCGACTGTTTTAGCCTTGCTCTTGCCGCTTTGTGAGTGGCCTTCGTTATTATCCGCTATTTGAGACTTACATGCCTGAGGACTCTCCCACTTGCTTCCACGGCGTTCTTTTGTTATTTTGTTTCACCTTAATACCTGTTTATTTTTTATTTCACCGTCAGTTTGCTTGATCAGCCTAGCGTGTTTCTTTTCCGACATCGGAGGTGCCAAACGGGCACTCGGTCAGGAAGGTGTAAAGTCTTTTCTGTTCCATTTCACTTAGTTCCATCAGACCTTCTTCGTGCCTTGGCTTGGAACAAAACCTTCAGGAGGACGAACTGTCTATTTTGAAGGCAGGTTGCGTTAAGATTTGCTTTGGTCGATGTTGCACACACATAAAAACAATATATATATATGTCTATATATAAAGCTTCGATTTCAATTGCCAGGCATCGCTAGCTCAGCGGGAGGACGCTCCGTCGCTTTTTTCAATGTCGCCCTGTCCTATTGATGGATTTGCTTGGCTTCCTGACCTCCGCAGGCTGCTTGCCTCCGAATTGAGGGCGAGAATTTCATTCTCAAAGCGCAGGTAGGGGAGGGTTCGCCGTCGCAGCGTTTTTTTATCTTGAGCTTCACAGGTGGAACACCTGCAGCAAAAGGCGCAAGATGCGACCAAAGAAGCCGTGGCCCAAGGCTTTTTCCCAATTGCAGCTCTTGGTTGAGCATATTGTGACAGCTTTTGCATTGAACATGCCATAAATCTATTTTCTCATGCTCAGGTGCAATCTTGCCAGGCATACTTGGCGCAAGCCCAGCAGGCCACTCTGCGCAACAAGCAGCCGCCTTCTCCAACTATGGACCTCCTTTTGCGCTTTCCTGTCAGTTGCTGGAGTGTGTTGCCAATGGCCGCATGCTTCATCGCACAGATGTTGGCGTCTCAGGATGCGACCCTTTTGTAGTGGCGTTTGCGGCGTTTGTTTGCCTTGGCACTTTGAAGCTAGACTTGTCACAGAGACCAGGCGACGGCTAGCTAGCTCTATATAGAAGCTCTATATAGATTTATATAGATCCAATTTCTCAGTGCGTTGGAAGCTCACCACTCCCTGGACAACATCAACCTTTGATCACGAATGCTCTATCTATGGTTTTTTTCTGAATGCGGAGGGAATTTGGAGGAGGGTACTTGGGTACTTTTACATTATCACCTGAATTGTCCTACCCAACCAAGGGTCAAAGCCTATGTGTAACACTGCCGGTGCCAGTATTCTGAATAGAATGCGTGGGTGAAACTCCAATTGTCCATTCTTCCTTCCTAGCGCGGAAGGCAGCATTCTTTGAGGTAGAGCCGGTCAGAGCAACCATTGCAGCCGCACGACTGGAGCCAAGTTTGAAAGCCGAAGAATCAATATGGACACATGCGGTTGAGCACGACCTCCATTGAATGGTCATCGTGGACCGACATTCCTTTTCAGATCTTTGGGCTAGTGATGGCTAGTAGTGCTCCATGACCGCAGTTCCTGTGCTTGTTCGTTGTGTTGCCGGGTCCTTTGCAAGTGAGGCAGAAGTGCCAAGCGAGCTTTGCAGGGAAAAGGCTGACAACCTGAAACTCTCGGGCTTTTTAGCGGAATCATCTTGAGCTGTGAGGGCGGAGCCACCCGCAGATGCACAATGTGGCTCATCCCTTGGCGCATGGTATGGAATGCCGAGTTAAAGCCAAGAGCACCGCTGTTCTCGAATTTTCGAGGCAGCTTTGCCCGGGGAAGCATCTCTCCAGGCTTGTCGAGCAATCGCAGAAATTGGCAGCGCTAGACGAAGATGCAAGAAGTAAGGTACAGCGGTGTTGGATTCGGGTAAGTGAGACACTTGCGAAGCCAAACAATATGGACGCACTGAGGTCATTTTCCTTCTTACTCAAGGGAGATGAAGCATTTCACTTCAACTCCTTCCCTACCACAATTAGGCAGTCAAAAGCATTGCAGTTGGAAATTAGGGAAGAGTTGGAAGATGTTGGAAGGGAATTTCCCTTGGCCTCCCTTGATGCTGCTGGTTGTAGAGTCCAGCCCCACCCAGAAGAGTGAGGCCACATGTGGGGATACAATGCCGCGCCATGCTGTGACTGCAGAGGTTCCAGTACAACGGAACATGTCAGGCGAAGGGCGGAAATGCTTCAAAGCTCTCTCCCCGAGCAGATAGGCCGTGGATCAGCTGTGGAAAGTTTCGGGAGAAGTGCCAAAAGCGACCGGTCAGGTCAAGCGGTGGCAATTCTAAGGACTGCAAAGCGTCCCTCATCACCCTCCATCCGTTGGACAGTTCGTTCCAAAAACGGATGCCGACCGGAGCCTGTCTCAAAAAGGACCGACGATCACCTGGCAGAGTGGCCCGCGCCCGGCTTCCCATGTGTCACGCTGGGTGCGCCACCGTTTTGTGTCCAAAGGCTTCGCCCAACCGAGGCCAACTCCGCCGGAACCGGTGGGACAGGGAGCTCTGAGGCTGAAGCGACTGGCTCGGAGAGTGCTGGTTGTCAGCTAGGGCCGGACATCCTTACCATCCCTCCCTTGGTTTGCACTCGCTTTTGCTTGGATTGTGAAGTCTCACAGTCCTAAAGGCAAATTTACAGAAATGGGCTTGCCCTGAGGTGCATGTCAACCTGCCTCCGAGCCCCAGCATGGTGAGTCCTCGACAAGGTCAACAGACCTGTGGTGAAATGATCAGATGATCAGTGCATTGCAACACTTTCGCGTTCATCGACATTCCAGGCCCTGCCAAAGACCTGGCTTGGCGCTCTCCTCAAACCACCCCCCTCTGGGATCAAACAATTCCGGCTTTGGGCCGCACACATAAGGTCGAAAGCATCCGATGAACACAGCTCCAAGGTACAGCTCTTCCTTGTTCGTTGTTTGCCTCTCAATTTCAGTGATTTGTGTGGCCTGGATAGGCCGAATTGGACAGTGAGCCTCGACAAGTGCTACAGACGTCAGACCTGAAGACACAGCACTGCCTGCATGACCTTGTCACACTTCTTTCCTCGGTGCATTTGATGTTGGTCAGAGCCTTCTTGGCAGGTTTCTTCGGCAGCCTGGCTCCTAAGGAGATCTAAGAACAATTGTGGCTTAAGTACTGTACCTTTGATTGCCGTTGATGAAGCTGTTGCCAAGGCGCGCCCTTCTGGTGGCAGCGCTAAAGAAGGGCTCGCAGGCGGAGGACTAAACAGATGCACGTGATGAGTGCCGTCAAAGCTATACTATAGTACAAATAATACAACCCGGTGGAACTTGACGGAAGCCGAGGAGAAGATGATTACCATGAAGGATGACTTAACACGTTCGAGCCTTACAGTCCGAAGACGGGAGGAAGCATGCTTGAGTTGTCCCAAGTTACTAGTAACTAGTAAGGCACTTGTTACTACTAGCGTGGCACTTGTTACTAGTAGCTTCCTACCCCCCCCCCGCGCGCACAAAGTCTTCCACGTCGTAAGACACGCCCTTTCCACGTGCTGACGCTCTTTGAAAGACCTGTAGCCTGAGATTTGTGTGCATTTCCGCAGCCTAGTCCAGTGGCCTTTAGGCAAGGACGTAATCATCCACAACCTGAAGCATGATCAGCTTGCCCTTCAGCAGGACTGGGGTCCAGTTTTTTTTCTTTGGGTACAGTCATGTATGGAAAACGAATGAATCAGCTGGGAGAGTGTTAAATAGATGATGACAGATGCAAGGAACTCCAGAATCAGCAGCAGCTGTTTGAGAGCCAGTTTCAGCTCATTCAGTCCTCCAGCCTCGCTTGGCTGCTCTGATTTGCGGCAAGAAGCCTAAGCAACTTATGTTCCATGGGAGGCAGCAACACCAGGCGCAACAACTTCAGCAGGCACTTTGAAACGCAGTTGTCTTGGCCTGGATGCCCTGACCACTCACTTTCCAAACGAAGTTTCTTTTGAACGGGCTGGCGTTCCGAAGCTCAAAGGTGACAACTCTGTGCTGAGCAGGTGAAGCAGTACCAAGACCTTGAGGCACTCCTGCTCCAACCCCAGATTTCCGGTAACGCCCAGATCTTCGTGGTGCCGAGATGTGCCCAGGCATGCGCATATGCAGTCACGGGCACCCGAGCCAGAGGAGAGAACGAGTGAAGCCACGGTAACTCCATGTAACTCCCAAACAGTGCGACTGGTGAAAGTGAGGAGCCATTGGTACCGGAGCTGCTGGAAGGCTGGACGCATCTCAAAGGTGCTATTGGTGGGGGACTGGGAGTTTCATTTCAAGTTGTACTGCCAGGCGTACCATGCACTTGGAATATGGAGGCAATGTGAGATGCCCAGCCTCAAGCACTTAAATACATAGTTTTTTCATGTATTTTCTTCCGTTCTGCTTAATCGATTGATTGATAGGCAGCGGGGGAAGAAAGAAAGAAAGAAAGAAAGAACGAACGAACGAAAGAAAGAACGAACCAACGAACGGACGATTGAAATACATAATTACTATTAAGAATCAAGTAAACAAAAAGAAAAGACAAGAACATCAAAGAATAGAAAGAAAAAAAAGACAGAAAGAAAGAAAGACAGCAAGAAACAAAAAGAAAAGAAAAGACAAGAAGAGACAAGAACATAAGAGAATAGAACGAAAGAAAGAACCTGAGGCCAGTTCTGAGCTCACCAGAGACTTGAGAGCCAATGACGGTGGGATGAATTCGACGAGCAGTGTCAGAAGACAGGGCACGCTTGGCACGGTTGCAAGAAGCCACGGAAAGAACATCTCAATGAAGTGGTCTTAAAGCGGGTTTGGCATTTCTTTGTCGTAACTTGTTCCGCGTTGCGTCCAATTTGATGGTCGGTGTGGTCGCTCTCAGGTGCACGCACTTGTGGACTCAGTCCCGCACTAGCACAAACAGAATTTCCAGATTAGTATCTGGATGACCGACTGCACAGCACGTTTGTATTTTTATGCCCTGATCGTGCCTTTGGCCACAGGATGCACTCGGAACGGGGAGGAAAAGGCATCATTCCTACTTCTGTGTGGTATGGTGAATTGTTGGGCATTCTTTGAAGGTAGGTATGTGTGGCTTTGGGTTTGGAAGAATCAATGCGCTTCACTATCCGCCTGAAGGATTCTGAAAGTGTGGATAGGGAGCGGAAGGAGCTGAATTTGGGGTTCCGAATGCGCCCACAAATTCCACACAGTGTCTTGTGGTAGCATAATTAGCAGGAAGTGGTCAGCCCCAAAGAGATTTGCTATATAGTTCTGTCCACGAAGCACCTGCATCTTTTTGGTGCTTAGTGCTTGGGTGTTTGTGGATCATCCCAGTGTAGCAAAGCACGGAATTGCCAAACAAGGTACTGTAACAGTGACAATTATAGTTGTAAGTCACATTAAGTCACTACGTGCATGCCGTTCTGGTGGTACGACGGCAAGAGCGCCAGGTTTCCATAGCTTCAAAATTTGAACTTGTCGGTAGCAAGGGTCGGACCCTTGAGATGTTCCGGCTCCAAGAGTCCTGAACCCGTTTATCATCAGTGTGGCAGAACTTGCCGTCCAAGCCTTGCCTCCTGTAGGCAATTGAACCACTGCGCGAGCCTGGTTGTTCCGTTTGTCTCCGGCACCCTTGATTTCGAGTATAGAACACTCACATGCAATATGATGCGCCACTTTGATGTCCACATTCACCTTGTTTTGATTCATTTTGGCGAGACACGATGTATTTTAAGGCTTGATGATGATGGGTAGCTTGGTCAGACATCGCTCAGCTTGAATTCTTACAAGCTCAACAGCCACGAGCATGGATAATGTCACGTACACCTTTATGTTGGAAAATGGGGCCGGGAGCTGCTGTCATGTTCCATTGCCGGAGCATTGAGGATGTATTATAGCATAATTGCGACTTGATTGAGGACCCTTGCAGTGTTTGACATCCGCTATACTGACTGGTTCAGATAGATTCAAATTTGCAATGGCTTCAGCCCAAGGACCGCAGTTGCATGTCCAAAGTCACAGCTCAGAAATGCTGAGATTCGCAGGCCGCAGGCAGTGAGCCTTTGCATCGGTCTTGCATGTCAATCTATTTGGCATGACCGGTGTGGCTCGGCTGTTGGACCAACATTGGCAACACTTTCCAGCTGTTCATCATTTCACCAGTGATGAGCGGCAAAATTTGTTTCCCAAGGCCACCCATGATGCCAGACACTTGGACACCTGCTTTGCTTCATCATGCTGTATCTCAATACATCAGTAAAAGCTCAAGCAGTTTCAAAAGCATTTTTCTTTTTCCAGGCCTGGGCAGAAAGGGAGAGCGAGCTCGGCCCTGTGCACCTTTTCCTTGTGTTTGCAGCGCTGGCTTGCATTCTACTCTCAATCTCGAGGCCTAATCCCGGAGCAGGGCAGGCCCTCCATTAAACATTATATAAGCTTTGCAGCCGAGTTTCAAACTTTTACCAGGTTAGTGCATGTTTGCCTGTGATGTGACAGGAGCACGAGAATGAGGAAACTCTGCGCAAGGACCCGCGGTCGCAGGTGTACATTTGACAGTTGGCCAACGGAAAACGATTTACTGTAGATGGGGCTTGGATGCGCAGGATGCTTCCAGCAAAAGCACCGCTAGGCAAGCCTTAAGCTCCCCTGGTACACAAACTGCGGATGAGGCGACGTAAACACCATGCTGGTAGAGCGGATTTGCACAAACCTTACGGTATATATATATATATGACTGAGAAAGGCTAATCTTTCTCCAAAACAACCACATGCGAGCTAGATGCAGACAATGGAGGTCAAGGTAGTTATTCCCACGCACCTGCCAGTTCACGAAAGGTAGCCCTTCAGGGGATACGTTGAGTTTGTTTTGCGAAGCAAGTGTGGGCTCCTCCGGATCTAATAATTGATAGTTCAATTCAACCCCCCCTTGGAATTGATTCTTCAATACAGCCCCCCCCCCTTAGAATTGATTTTTCAATTCAGACCCCCCCTCTGACCGCTTCATCCCGAAGTGGATCACCTCGACACCTCGATGGTTATTTGGTGTTGAGCACTCTGAGCTTGGGGCAGTGATTGAATCCATGAAGAGACATGATATGTTGTTTTTAGTGCTTCTTGTCGTTGAGGATTATCATATAACTATATATATATCACGAAAGCTAGCACCAGCTAGCTGGAGTTGTCCTTGCTTTCGCAAGTGAGGGGCTGGAATCCTCGGGATCACCGCATCACGTGAAAACTTCATATGTAGGGGGCCCCCCCCCCCCCGTGGGTTCAACTCCCCCCTCGGACGCCTCTGGGACGCCTCTCGGGCATCTCTTATGGCATCCACTTTGGCTTAACTCCTCCGGGATACGGTGCAACAGATTCAACAAGCTCACATGTTCATGACATCGACATCGATAGAAGAAACCAAACAAATCATGCCAGCAGCTTTGTTTTGCCTCTGGGACACCTCTTGGGCACCTCTTATGGCATCCACACTGGTTCAACTCCTCCGTGGAGGTTTTGGGATACGGTGCAACAGATTCAACAAGCTCACAGGTTCGTGAACACATCGGATGCATCGAACAGTGTGGCAAAGTCCAGCCACGCTTCCTTAATTATCGGGGACTTCAATTCTAAGGTTGGCTGTGTCATTGCTGTTTGTGTGTCTTACATGTTCACAACGTTTTACCTCATGAGCATTTGCCTCACTCCGCTTGATGTCCCACCAGTCCGGATGCACCCCTGCTAGCTTTCGTCACCTACCCTCGGCCTCAAGTATATATTTTATGTATATATCGAACTTTGGTCTTTTCCCCCATTCTCAAGTTGACGCATAATTCGACTCCACCAACAACACACTGCATATTTTGCATGCTTATTTTCCTCCTGCTGTCCTACCTTTCGTGTATCCCTCTTCTCAAGTTCTGTTTCCCAGGCGCTTTCTTGCTTGCAATCGCTCACTCACACATGCAGAGTTGGAATATGGTGAGGACAAAGCCTCATGCGCGACCAGCTGCCTGAATGTGCCATAACTTCCTTGTATGAAGAGTGAAGTCTATTTAGACAAATCCTTTCGCACTATCACTAGGACTGGGGGGAATGAAGTTGGCGTCATTTGAGCCAAGTTTGAAGGACATGAGCCTGACACATAGGGAACTGACCACACTGGAGACAAAGACAATGGGATGCGGCGCTGCCTCACCAAACCGTTCTCAACGTCCGTCGAACACGTTCAATAAACCAATCATTGAATCATTGAATGGTAAACCAACCAACCAACCAAGCCGACCAGCCAACAATGAAACAGACTGTTTGAGACCAAGATCCATTCCGCCCTAAGCTCACACAATCCTGCGGGCATCTTAAGCACCAGCCACGACAAAGATTTTTGCACCCACAAGGGATGCGACAAGGCGAGGTCAATCCTGAGGAAGTTCGCATGCCTAACATTGTGAGATGCGGTCATTCTATTCTATTCCTTCATAGCCTGCAGATTGGCAGGAACTGGAGGAGCGCCAAGCTTTGATCCGACGCCTGCAAGGACAGAGCCCCGATGTTAACCTGCTTGACCACGAGGTTTGCACATGGAGTTTGAGTAAAGCGCCAGGTGAGAGCTTCCTACTTGCCACGCAGGTGCAACATTAATACTACTTGTAAGCTATGATAACTGTGCGATTTGTCAGGTGAAGCAACTAGAGCAGCAAATCATGGATGCTAGCAAGGATGCAGCTTGGCATTCAGCAAACGGCGCCCCTTTGCTGTTGGCATATGTCCACGATGATGCATACTGCTCAGGCTCAAAGTTGCTCCTCCCAGCCAGGGTCATAGATTCCGACATTAAGGGCTTCAGCTGAACAGCTTTTGACGAAAGTGAGCAAGCATCATGTACTTTAGTTGTACGGCAGCTCCTCTCGACGCTGTCTCATGTCAAGGCTTGCCCAAGTGTTGCAGCTGATGGACAGTACCGGCGGACGCGTGCCGTTGAAGGGCGAGGCAGCTTCGCGCTGATTTGTTTGTGTTGGGCGGTCGATGCAATTTATAGCGGCTTATCTTTACCAGGTTGGTCTGGTCATACAAGGAAGTAAAAGCACTTGAACAAACAACTCAAACATGACTGTGACTACAGTGTATAGCCTTTATCTACATCACTGAAGTTTGATAAGCTTTCACCTCCACCCTGTGACGCTATCGCTATGTCAAGTCATGCACCATCCTCGCATTGGGACAAGCATAGCCGCACGGGATCCACCAAGACCAACACAACGATTGAGGACCCTCACGAAGATCGACAAGCCTTCAACCAACTAAGCAAAGATTTAGCAAGATTGGTCCACAGACATCCGAGGCACAAGGCCAAAGGCAATCGGAAGAAAAGGACATGTGAGATGACTATGGCTGCAAACAAGCAGCAATTGATATGGGAAGCTAAAGTCCCACCAACCTGCCAAAAGAACAGGGGCAAAGCAGGCAAAGCTTGGATTGCGCCTGGCTCAACGAGCCATGTCGCCTGCTTGCTGACATTTGTCACTATTGATTGCAGGTCGATCGTGCGCGTGGGCTGGTGACGGCAGCTCGACGTAGTTACCTCAATGTCCTGGGAATAAGTGAAATGCAATTTGACAAAGTGAATGCGACTTCAAGGCTGGCGGAGACATTTGTTCTCAATGCTGAGGTTCCATTCGCCGTGTGTCCTGCTGGTCCGGTGAAGATCAGCTTCACAGCAGTCGAGGTGCACAGAATGCCCGGCGCCCCAACTGCGGAGCCTAGTGCTTGTAAGAATGCTGTGTATCATTGGCTCGTGTCATTATTCCCTATGACGTGTGCAATTGGTATATATATATATAGAACTCTATATTGTGGAATATAGTGGTTTTGCACTTGGGCGCTGCTTCACCTTTCTCTCATTGAGGCGGGTGCAGCTGGGCCATCTGCTCACGCGGCGTCCGTGACATGAAAACTCATTGAACATTGCAACCGCCAAACTCAGTGGTAGCCAAGGCATCGCATGAATGGCAAGACTGAAGTCGAGCGCACTTTGCCAGAGAGGCGCTGATGCACCAGTCTTCGAGTGTACTTCTCAATCCTCTAAGCAAGTCCACGTTTAGGCGGCCTTCACCACTGGGAAGGCTACAGGTGCCTTAGAAGCAAAGCCGAACATCAGAAACTCGAGATTCGCATCGATATTGATGAAAGCATTTGTCGGAGGCTACCAAGGGAAAAAGATGAGCAAATGAACAACAATACAAAAACACCAAGCAAAAAGGAAATTCGGAAAGGAAGAAAGAGCAGTTGAGTGAAGCCATGTCACCTGAAGATTGCCTGAATTTGCTCAGTCCCCTCGGGGCGACCCTACACAGCACGGAACTGAGTTGAATCAGTAACAAGGGCATCGCTACTAGGAGCAACTGGCTACTAGTAGCTCCTGGCCATACTACTAGTAGCACGAAGCTACTAGTAGCAGAGGGCATCATTACTAGTAACAAGGGCGTTGCATTTATATATCTCTTCACAATCTGTGTCCACAAGGCGTGACTTGCACTCGGGGCCATGAACTTAGATCATGTCTAGTAATGATACATTGTGCAACGGGACACGCACACAGTGCACCGTGTGAGACGCTTTACAACATTTAGAGTGTGATCCAATCCTGCAAGGCTAGCTGCCTCGGCTGTTGCTGCTGTTGGCGAGGCTAGGTGGAGAGTGTAGAGGGAAACCAACGGCAGTTTCGCTTGCCACCAAGCATTCGTCCTCCAAGTTGGACCAGGATGCTAAAGGAGGAATCAATGGCAGTTTGCCTGCAGGACATGATTATGTTTTTCTGTTCTCTCTAGTCTACTGTAAACGCCTAAACGCCTCAGATGAGTTCATATCAGCTCTTGTGTCAATCTCAGGAGCTTCTAGCAAATCGTCAGAGCGGACAAGCAGGCATTGGCTATTTGGCTTGAATGACCTTGAACTTGGTGTTTGTGCAATTGATGTGTCACAAGCCAACTGCTAGGTCCAAAGGTGCCGTGAAGGACTGGGAGTCACTGACACGCTCTCTCTCTCTCTCTCCCTGCCATCTCCTCCACACATGTGGCCACTTATATAGCTGGTTTGATGTGGGAGGACGCTCGGAGTCGGCGAGTGCGAGAGCGCGCCACGCGCTCAAATGAATACTATTCAAGCACAACACATGATCAAATATGGATGGAACCAGCCTCAGGGAAGTGCGGAAGGACACAGTGATGGGGACACCCCTGCAGCTTGTCTTGACATGAATCGTCTGTGACCTGTGAGGTGAGCTTTTGTATAGGAGAGGTGTGCACTATGAGTGTTGATTGATGTGCCAGCTTTGGATTACCATGAGGCCCTGCGGCCCTCAAGTCCGAATCCAAGGAACAGAGAACTAAGATTGCTTGGAAAGCCTAAGGAAGCAAGAAAGGCCTGATGAGCTTGAGTCTTCTATTTGAGATGGCTCCAGCATTCACAAGAGTGCAGAGAGCATTGAACACTTGCATGACTTATATCAGTGTCCAACAGCTTGGGCTCACCATAGTGATTGTGTCGTGCTACATCTACAAGCCCGCACGAGGCTTTGCTATTTGCTACTGTGAGCTTTCCACACAAATGGTCGTTGGCAAACCCTTGGCGCAATGGCAAACTATCCAAGCATCTTTTTCTCAAACACCGATCTCATTCGATGGATGGATGGCCCACGTACTTGTGACACATTCGCCGCAGCTGGCAAATCCAAGTTCCGGCAGCAGATGCGCAGCTTGAAAGCAAGTACAGAATATAACACTACGAACCCAGACATACATACATACCTATAATTTTGTGGGTATGTATGTTTCCTCAGACATACGTACATACATACCTTTAACATACATACATACCTATAATTTTCTGGGTATGTATGTTTCCCCAGACATACATACATACCTTTAATTTTCTAGGTATGTATGTTTCCCCAGACACACATACATACCTTTAACATACATACATACCTATAGTTTCTAGGTATGTATGTTTCCCCAGACATACATACATACCTATAATTTTCTAGGTATGTATGTTTCCCCAGACATACATACATACCTTTATTTTTTAGGCATGTATGGTATGTATGTTTCCCCATACATACATACATACATACATACCTATCATTTTCTAGGTATGTATGTTTCACCAGACATACATACATACCTTTGACATAAATACATCCCTCTAGTTTCTAGGTATGTATGTTTCCCCAGACATACATACATACCTATAATTTTCTCGGTAGGTATGTTTCCCCAGACATACATACCTATAATTTTCTAAGTATGTATGTTTCCCCAGACACACATACATACCTTTATCATACATACATACCTATAGTTTCTAGGTATGTATGTTTCCCCCG